AGAAAGAAAGAAAGAAAGAAAGAAAGAAAGAAAGAAAGAAAGAAAGAAAGACAAAGAAAGGCGAGGGGTTACGTGTTAAATCATACTCTTCAATTAAAGAGCAGATTGTGGGCATATTTAGTATGCATCATTTTAAGAGAATTTCAATACAAAACAAAGTCATTGTGAAAATAATAGAAATTTGGTTTAACATTAAGGTATTTAGCTTTATGGATGAAAATTTTCCCCAAAATGATAATAGTGTTATTAAGAAAGTCACTGTTATTGTCCATAAGAAGTCCATAAATCTTTTTTTTTTTCAGAGAACATTTGGAGACAGGGAATTTAGAGAAATAACCAGTCAAACATATCAGACCTTAATGTTTCAACATTGGCCTACATGCAATGAAATGTAACATTTTGCCATTTGGTGACAGAATTAATTTGATTGTCTTTCATCACCTGCAGTGTTTCATAGAAAAGGCAAAGTTTGCAAGAGCAGTGGATTTTTATCCCAGAAAAACAAAAAACGAAAATAAGATGAGTTATACACTATTGTCTAGAAAATATTTAGCAAGATTTTTATAAATAAATATGTACACATCGTAAATCTATATTGTATTAATCAAAAACATTTACAATATTAAAACCTTTTTCAGAATATAATTTAACACACCTGTATAATTAAGTATAAAAATAATTATTTTCAGTATTTTTTCCTAAATCGAGCGCATTCAAGAAGTCGATCATTCAGCGCATGCGCAGATGAGCTGGATCGGCTCGTGTGTTCTCATCTGGTTGTTATGTTGCTGGCGCCCTTAGTTACCAATTTCTCCCACAATGCACCACTGCWAGCGTCGCTGATCTGGGGTAATCTGTTGTGTTTTTAAGGCCGAACAACGTCGATGAATGTGATCGCTGTCAATGATTAGCTAATATAGATCTAGGTTTTGCGAAATAGATCAAATTTTAATGACATTATTGACAACGACTACTAACACAAGAGACTGTTAGCGATTAGGCGGCTAATGTTTGCTCCGGAGCTTTGAGCTATATGCTAACGATATCGAAGTAAACAAGAGTAATAACTGAACATTAATAACTTTCCAGARCTATTGAGCGTAAAAATGAGTTGGTAATGTGTTTTTCAGGTGTAGGAATATGCAGAAAGCCACGTAAATGATGGAGAAAGAACAGCACAACACTATAATCTTCAATGCGTCAAAAAGGGAACTTTTTAACAGCAACAATGGATACAAGTCCATGCAGAAGAAACTCAGAGCTCAGTGGAAAATACAAAGGTGAGATGCTTGTGTTGTAGTCTCATGTGTGTGGACAAAAAAAGGACATATTTAATCCTTCCCCGTTGTTTAAAAAAAATCTTTTTGACAGTATCAAAGAAGAGCTGYTGGAGGAGAAGTTGAAAGGGGTCAAGTTGTGGATAACTGCAGGACCAAGAGAAAAGTTCACAGCATCAGAGGTGACTTCAACTCACTTTGTGGCATCTAATATTTCAGTGCAGTGGCTGGATGTTGGACCTTTAAATAAGGAGAATCTGCCATTCTATGTCAGAAAACATGCTTTCTTTGTTCTCCTTGTTGTTTTTCCTGCAGCTAGAGGTCCTTAAGCAGTACCTGGATGGAGGAGGAAATATGCTGGTCATGCTCGGTGAAGGAGGAGAAATGAAATATGACACAAACATCAACTTCCTCCTGGAGGAGTTTGGCATTATGATCAACAGTGGTTCGCATTCAAATTTGCTTCAGTGATGGTTAATAATCCAGTGGTGGGCACCACTAATCTAAAAATTAGTTGCATTAACCCTAAACCACTAACTTTAATATTTATGTACACTAATTCTAAACCACTAACTTTAATATTTAGGTCCCCTAATTCTAAAGCATTAAAATCCCAGCTGACCCGTGGAACATTTCTCAAAGTTAACATGAGACAATATTTTTTGTGTGTGCAGAGATGTAATGTTTATATTGTTATAATAATTATTTTWAATATTTTTCATAGTGTATTGGTTCCCAAAGTTAGGGTCGAGACCTCTTTGTGGGTCACAAAACATCAAGTGAGGGTCCCCAKATGATTTCCAGACATCAATTTAAATGTAAAAATAATGCTAATTGAATATTTTCATCATGATTATTGCAATTTTTTAAAAATAGTCATAAATGAATAAAAATTAGTATCGTAGTTACTAGGTTTATTTAAAGTTATTATTCCCATGTTTAACAGATTTATTAGCAAAGTTTGCTACGTGAACAAGTAATATCTGGGGTCACGAGTGTCTGCAACTTTAATTTTGTGGGTCGGAAGCAAAAAAGTTTGAAAACCACTGATCTATAGTGGAGAAGTGACACATATGACCAACAGGTCTGACAGCTTTCACCCTCAGCTGTTGACAATAATGTTGATCAATAACATTTAAAGAACTCAATTAGTGTTTATAAATTTAACCCATAAATTTAGCAAGTGCTAAACCACTAATAAATAAAGAAATTAGCAAAAGCCCTAAAGCACTTATCAGAAAATTACTTCCTCTCTTAGTGCTTTAGGGGAACTCTGCCCACCACTGTTAATAGCATATTCCTCCATTGATTTGTCACAATCACGTGTTTTCACAGGTGAAATGGTTTTAATGATTTGATTTGTGTGCATTTGTTTAAAGTGTCAAAATATTTCATGAAGCATGTGTCAGATAATCATTGGATGTAGATCTAAAATGGGTTAACTTTTGGAGTCAACAATGTTCATGACAGCAAAGTATCCTTAAAAACTGATGTGGAATGAGCTAAGAGTCATTCACAGCTGAGGGCTACAAGCAGTGTTGTATAAAGTACCTCAAAGTCATACTTGAGTAAAAGTACAAGTATCTTATCATAAAAACACTTCGGTAAAAGTTAAAGTATTCTCTAAAAATATTACTTGAATACAAGTCTTAAAGTATCTGATATTTTTTGTACTTACGTATCAAAAGTACATTTCGGACACAAAATGTACTTAAGTATTAAAAGTAAAAGTACTGAGTAAAAGTGAGCAGTTAGATTTTCCAAAATGACATTTATTGGAAGGTGACTTCTACAAAAAACATTTTTTCTAACGGCGTGCAGCTGTGATGGGTTGTGTACAAGCTAATATGGTGTCAGAATATTTATACTTCTCATCCAACCACAATTAAATTCACTCTATCCAGGAGACACAATTTATCAGGATAGTATTTTTAAGTAGCAATTCAGAATAAAATAGGAGTAACGACTTTCTACTTCTTACCTTTTTAAAAAATGTAGTGAGTAGAAAGTACAGATAATTGTGTACAAATGTAATGAGTAAAAGTAAAAAGTACGCTGAAAAATAATTACTCAAGTGAAGTACAGGTAACCAAAATTTCTACTAAAGTACAGTAACAAAGTATTTGTACTTAGTTACTTTACAACTCTGGCTACAAGATACAAGAGTTTTGTCTAGATCAGTGCCATTAACTTAAAATCAGTGCGGTCAGACTGTTAGCTACATTAGCCCAGTGCGGGCATTTTCTTATAATTATTTTCCTGTGTTTTTTTTTTTTTTGTGATAACAACATAACGAGGACCATTTTCTTGAGATAACGACGTGGTTTTCTTGTGTATCATTCAGTAACCATGAAGACGGCTTGATCCCCTCAGCTGGTGACCAATAAAGTTTATTACATCAGCAGGATCACTGTGTAAACACCTGCTCATCTGCAGTCGAGCCAGATGTCTCCTTAGATGACGAGGGCTGATGTGAAAGTTATCTAAACAAGAAAAACAAATCACAATTTCAGCCTGTGTAACGATACAAAAATGACACAAAATTATGTACACTGGGTAGCCTTCAGACCCAGGCAGCCCTTGCAAAAGAGATCTGCGATCTCAGTGGTATTTGTCTGGTTAAATAACAATCAATGAATGAACAGATAGACAGACAGGTGGTAAACTTCATCGATGACCAGCTGAGGGGAGCAGGCCATCTTCATGGTTACTGAACGATGCGCAAGAGGAAAACTATCTGGAAATTTACTCATTATCTCGAGAAAACGTTCCTCTTTAAACCGTGGAAAATAATTATAAGCGGAAAACGGCCGAACTCGGCTTGTTGGCGAAACTTTACATGTCAAATGATATTACACGCAATGATATACAAAGTTTAATTCTGTCCCTTCTCAGCACAAAATTATTATAGTTTATGGTAAATTGGGGGCAGCAGACATTACTTCAAGTAGTAGTAATAATAATAATAATAAATTATATTTATAGTGCCCTGTTCATCTTGAAATCTCAAAGAGGGCTGAAAACAGGGCAAAAGAGAGAATAAAAATCTAAGAAAGTGAACCTAAAACTTTGCTAAAAAGAAGTGTCTTAAGACCCTTTTTAAACCAGTTAGTAGACTGCGGTGCCCTCAGAGTGTCAGGGGGTGGCAGCAGTGCTACACTTGTGTTTTATTTTCCCTTTTTTCTTTGCTCCCACAGATGCTGTTGTGAGGAATGTGTACTACAAATATTTCCATCCCAAGGAGGCACTTGTTTCCAATGGCGTGTTGAACAGGTCTGATGTCAGATAATACAAATACACATGTAAAGGGTAGTATTTCATAAATACAAAACAAACCAAATACTTATAGAGCTCTAAAATCTCTCCTTTTATTCAGAGAGATTAGTCGAGCTGCTGGCAAGACACTCACAGGAGTGACTGAGGATGAAAACAGTGGAAACAATGCCCAGTAAATAGTTTTCTTCTATGCTATCATTTGCTACATTAAGTCTTTGCTTTTTCTCTAGTTAATTGTTGTGTGTTTGTTCAGAGCGGTCACGTTTTTGTACCCGTACGGAGCCACACTGGGTGTGATGAAGCCCGCTGTGGCTGTTCTGTCAACCGGTTCGGTCTGCTTCCCGCTCAACAGACCCGTCTTGTCTTTCTACCAGGGAAAGGTCAGTGGAGTTTTTACTGACCTTAATGTGAACAAACCCTTGTAAAAATGTTCTCCTAAAATATATATTTTTTTCTTATGAAGGAGTCTGGCAAACTGGCTGTTCTGGGTTCGTGCTACATGTTCAGTGATCAGTACATAAACAAGGAAGAAAACGGTAAAATCATGGTGAGTCCAAGAAGGTTTTAAGAACATTTAGTGAAATACTTCATTAGAGAAATGTCAGAGGTGCAACCCTCAGCCTTTTGGAGTTTCACTCTTTTTATTTGTTTAATTTCATTCTAGGATGTTGTGCTTCGGTGGCTCATGACTGATAGTATTCAGCTCAATCAGATTGATGCAGAAGATCCAGACGTACGTAGAAATGTACACGACTGAAAGAAGAGCACCACCAACTGTCTAAAGACAGCTCCCGTTCACACACTTGTGTTTTATTTGCTAGATGACAGATTACACCATGCTGCCGGACACAGGGTGTCTGTCAGAACAGCTTAGAGTCTGTTTACAAGAAGGGGATGAGAACCCCCTGGACTTCACTTCTCTTTTCAATGGGTCTTTGTTCAACTTGGCAACTGACACTTTGCCCCAAGTCATAAAGTAAGAATATACAATGAATGCGTCACACCATTCATGTTTATTTTCCGTCTTACCTAAAACTTTTGCTGTTCTTTCTTTTTTTGCAGCGCCTATACCAAACTTAATGTTAAACATGAGCCTCTTCAACTCATCACACCACAGTTTGAAACACCTCTGCCTCAGCTTCAGCCTGCTGTAAGTTGTTACTAAATTCATAGAACTTAAATGGTTAACCCAGCCCTATCTATGGCACAATCACACTTATTACTATTAGCTCATTGTTTGAACATTTCTGTCAAAATATTTCTTTGCCTGTTGGTGCGGGATTATTTTCAACATAGATTTGGGGATTTTTCTTGGCTACCACCACATCAAATTTTGCCAAAATATGTCTAAAAACAGCTAAGTTATGATCAATTCTTCCTTTTGGCTATGGCAGCCATCTTGGATTTTTGATTTGGATTTAATATTTTGCGGATAGTTCTTAGTGACCACCACACCAAGGGCCTTTCCCAATCAGTGGCTTCTCCCTCATCCTACTCCCTACACTCGCTGTGAAGCCCCCTCGCAGCTGAACTGAGTCCCCTTGATGATGCTGTAAGGTTTGATTATAAACCCTCTTTTGAGACGGGCTCTCCTCGCACCACCGGAACAGGAAGCTGTCGTCACCATGGTAACAGTCCAAGCTCTGGCATTGGTTGAATGCTGGAGAACGAACGCAGTAAGATCGTTTAAGATGCTTTTTTTAATAGACCAAAGAAAATATTAAATATATATACACATACACAGACCCTCTCCAAAAAACTAAAATATGGAAAAGTTGTTTAATTTCCATAATTCCATTCAAAAAGTCATAGGTTATAGATTCAGGGCCCACAACTTAAAAAATTTCAAGTATTTATTTTTACATAATTTGGACTTCCAGCTCATGAAACCAGGAATTCATGAAGTCAGAATACTGTGAAGTAATCAGCCCAAACTACTGGTGATTCCAGTAATATGGATCACAACAAATCAATCAAAATATAGTACTTTAAAAAAAATGTATGTCAATCTTCAATACTTGGTTGGGAATCTCTTTATCCTAGTCACTGCCTCGATGTGACATGGCATTGAGGCAATCAGCCTGGGAATAATGGAAGCTCAGATTTCCTTGATGCTTGCTGTCATCTCTTTGTTGTTGGGTCTGTTGCCCCTCATTTTCCTCTCGATACCCCATAGATTCGCAATGGGGGTTTAGGTCCAGTGAGTGCGCTGGCCAGTCAAGCACCGTCATGGAATGGGCATCACAATATACACACAATTCAGTTTATTTATATAGCGCCAAGTCACAACATACATTGTCTCAGGGCACTGTACATGAAAAAAACTTTTTGGTGTTAAAATAAATTAAACTAATATTTGGTTTCGTTTTCTACTGAGGTGACACCAAAAAAAAAAAAAAGAAAAGAACAATTTAAAGAAGAAGCCAGCAGACCATGTTGAATCACTTCATCACAGTCTCCCATCCTGTAGGGATGTTGACATTTCGTCAGCAGTTGCTGCCATTTTCTTCCCAAACTGCTGTGACCAGATTTTGCAAGGCTGCTCGGTGCGTTTACTTGTAATTTCCTCCTGCTTCGTTATTTCTACGAATTTCAACAAATCGGGCTGTTATCGGGTAGTTAGCTACAGCCTCGTCTTCGAGTTTTTAATTTTTGTTGATGCGTTTTGAAGAGAACTTTTTGAAAAGATCAAAGTAAATCACCTGAGTTTTTCTAGTGACCCCTTAAAGAGATAAGCTGCCATGAAGAACATTATTTTATCTGCCCTTCTTCCAAATTTGACAATGATTTGAAACGTTGAAGTATGTTTGTTTTTTTTCCGGAACAGCGCTTGTTGCAAAGTGTTTTGACGCTGATCTTCGTCACTTGACACATTTAACACGCTGTCATTGGTTGAGGAGCTTTGTTTACAAAACAGATGTCCACCTGGTTTTTAAATTGTTTTAATTTCCTTACTTTGTAAGACACATTAAGTTGATTTGATGCTACAGTTTGCCTTGTAATGTTATTTTATACCTTTTCTGCTACTTTTGAATTGGCTATTATTAAGTTTTATTAGTTTTTTAGGATACAAGATGCTTCCTACAAAACCAGAATGGGAATCTTTTCTAAAATTTCATGGCAATATCTTGAACACTGAGGAAGTTATGAGCAAAATTAGAAAACAGCAAGGTGAAATGGTCACAAAGGCCCCATTGGTTCTGCTGTGAACTGCAGCAAGAAAACGAGCTGATTTCACCTAAAATAATAACTTCCCTCCTACTTCAGATAATCATATGATTTTGGTGTTATTTTGTATGATTTGAAATGTTCTTTTGGAATCTGCTGTCAGATTTAATATTGGTGTAGGATTAAAAATTTATCCACATCCCTACATCCTGAGCAAACAGTGGAGAGGAAAAACTCCCTGCTTATCAGGAAGAAACCTTCAGCAGAACCAGGCTCAGGACAGGCGGCCATCTGCCTCGACCAGCTGGTTGGGGGACAGGAAAAAGAAAAGAAGAACTGGTCCAGGTGCACCTTCTTCTGGAAGAGAGACAAAAAAAAATGTTATTGATAGAAATAATTACAACAAACATGTAGAGAAGAGAGACAAAAACAACAGAAGGGTTAGGAAATGTGCTCAGTTTGTGATCCAGCAGTCTAAGTCTGTAACAGCAGAAATGAGGAATAATTCAAATATAGCCACACTTTTAATCAGAGCTTCATTTAAAATAGCCCTTCCTGCTCAGTGTGCAATTTGAAGCTTTGGTTCAGGTTGTCCATCACTGTTACTGGGCTTTGTAGAATAAATTTGATGGTATATAGGAGTTTTAGGCTGTAGCTGCATTGGGGTCTTTTAGTATTTAAAAACATGCTCAGGTTTTGGTTAGCCTCACCAGTTTAAATAGTGCTTTTGCCTTTTAGGTTTTCCCACCTGCCTTAAGCGATTTGCCTCCTCCAATGTTGGACCTGTTTGATTTAGACGAAACGTTTTCATCTGAGAAAGTTCGCCTTGCCCAGCTCACCAATAAATGTAAGATCACTTAAAATGTATTGGTGTGAGTTTAGTCAGGTAACAAAAAAGGTACAATTGTAGTATGATTGTTTCCTCCCCCTCCCAGGTACAGATGAAGATCTTGAATTTTATGTACGCAAATGTGGTGAAATTCTGGGTGTGACGCCCAAATTGGATAAGGCGCAGAGGGATGCAAAGCACATCTTGGAACACATCTTCTTCCAGGTGGTAGAGTTCAAAAAGCTTAACCAGGTAAGGAGAGTGGTTTTTTTCTAAAATAAACTGTCTATGTTGAAAACTGCATCGAAAACAAATATTTTTGTCCTCTTTGCAGGAGCACGACATGGACACAGAGGCACCGTTCACTTAGTCTTGATTAGAAGTAGAATCAAGTTGAATATTTACCAAATGCCTTATTACAGAGCTGAGAATGACCAAGTCTGAAACGATGTCGTGTTTCACTTAGGAACTACATGTACAGGTTTTATTTACATGAATTGCAACAATGTAAAATGATAGTCAAAAATAAATTTCCTCCTTTATTAGCATTTCTTAAAGCAAATTTAAAAAAAAAAAAAAAAAGGCACACCACTCACATTTTAACATTTGAGTTCAATATTTTGAAAGTTGATGTAAGAGCTGGAGTCATACATACAGCTGTGAACAGATCTTTTACTCGCTGAAGTTCGTCTAAATGTTCAATAAATTTGCCCCCTCACCAACCTCAATCAAGGGGAAACTTCAGCCACGGAGTCCTGCTGTGGTTTTGGACTTGAGGTCTGCTCCTGAACCCTGGAATCCGTGAAGAAAATGGGGCTGTTGTTGTCCGGCTTGATCGAAGACACATCCCATGAAATTTGCGAGGCTGTCAAATCACTGCAAGACTGGTCAAAGAAAGTAGCTTGTTTTGGCTTTGGAGGGAGCATGGGAGTGGAGAACTTCACCTGTGAATGTACAGTCAGGTGGTTGTTGTCAGCCTCTTGTATGTTAGAACTGTGAAACAAAAACTGACAAGGAGAAAATGTATCCATTGATGGGCAGGGAGATGCCCCGTTTTCAGATTTGTCAGCTGCTRGGCCATTTGAGGACTTTGACAGGCACAGTTCCAGAGACAACAAACTCGGCTCCCCAAGAAACTTCTTGTCCAACTCTGATAGAGAGGAGCTCTCAAATGTTTTCATCCCTTCAAGGTAAAACATTTAAAATTAGRAATCTAGGCTTCTCATTGATAGTTACATTAGCAGAAAACAACATACWGGCTTACCTTTAAGGATAGAAGCATTCTCCATTGTTTCCATTGACCGTTAAAAGCCAAGTCAGCCACAGATCAGTTTTAAACTGGTGAAGATGATGGTTAATTGACTCAGCTGCAGGCTAAGCAGGTCATTAGTCTGGATCAGAAAGGGGAGGCTCTTATGGCCTTGTAAGGGTACAAGTGCACTTTGATTGTAAACATCTATTTACAAAAACAAATGCAGCTTTTTAAAAGTCTAACCATACTAATTAGATGTTTTCATTAAATATTTATATTTCTGTTATTTTGAACAAAACAAACAACATAAAGATACATTATTTAAAATTTATAGTTCCTAATGTTTCACCCATTAGCTGTCTATAATCCCAGTAATATTTTTAAATTTAATATAAAAGATCAGTTGTTTTTGGCAGATGAATTGATTTCAATTTACAAGTTACTGATTTTACTAAAACTAATGTTTCAAATAAACTATAGTTATATATCGCTTGCAATTTTAAAAGGGAGTGCTAGAGAATGACCAGTCCAACCCACTAAACTGGTAATAATTGTCTGTTTTAAACTGAAGATGATTTGAGGAGAGTCAAAACGTTTCATTAAAGAAGAACCCATCCAGAGAACCTAATT